CTATATTGAATACAAATAAACTTCTGTGCAAGATTTTTTTAATATTTATGTGAAAATTATTTATACAAATAAAGAATTTTATTTATGGCTTCATGTCGGTCTACGTATATGTCAAACAGAAAATAGCCAATTTGTGTAGAACTGCTGATAAGCAGCTTAAATTTCATAGTTATGACAATGTAAAGGGCAAGTATATTTCCAATAATAAGTATGCCATTGAAAAATTTATAACTATCGATTTCATTTAAAATAAAAAGATTCTATTCAAAGCTGCCTACAGTAAAAGAAATTTGTGAATTTTGTGACTGACATATAAAAAAACGTCTTTCTAGTGGAAACTTTTACGAATGTACTTATCCAGAATGTAGTAACTTGCTGCAGTTTGTCGACATAAGGAGAGAGACTTCAGTTTAATAATCAAAATGTAGACCGTGGAAATTTTTAAAGCTGTCACAAAAAGTTTGTCATTACTATAGTGTCAAAAGTAATTTCTTGCTTCGGAAAATGCAATTAAATAAAATTATAAGAAAATTGAGTAAAATTATTGATTACCTGTAGTAAAGAGTAATATACTATTCAAATAATTGCTATTAAAAAATTATGCATTACCTTGAATTGTCACAATATAAATAATTTTCTAGAGCAGTGTTTTTTTTTCAATCTAAAGGATAATGCCGAAAGGGAAAGTACTGGAAAATATTTAATGTATTTTACAAGTAGTAGTAAAAAATGCAGTTGTATGTTTATAAAAACGGGTACCATTATCTTTCCAATAAATGTGATCGTTACAGATATATATACAATATTTTATGGCCCAATGATCTTTGACGCCGATTAATGGTTAAAAATTCTTGCTTTTGAGTATTTATTTTTAAAAAAATTAAGATTGGAAGTATGTATTTACATTAATATATAAATTTTTGTTAAATTACTCTTTAATAGTTTTCAGTAAAGAAAATGGAGTCTGAAAACTCACATTGCGTTCATAATTACTGAATGACACTTTATTTAATTGAAGAGGGTCCTGAGATTTTTTCAGGGAATCAAAGGTTACTAGTTTAGTATATGATTTCAACTCGGGATTAATTTTCTTGTAGGAAGTTCTAACAGAAAATCTAGTACCAATATTATTAAAGAGAATGGCGACTGAATACTAAAACTTCCGTAACAGTTGCCTTATTAAGTTTAAGACTTTAGAAGAAATTTAATAACTTCTTTGTAACAAAAAATTTTCTTGAAATTATTACTTAAATTAATATTTTTAAATTATTACTCTAATTAATATTTTTATATTACAGTTTTACTGAAGCACTAATTGTTAAAAAGGCGGAATTTTTCTTTAATTTGCTACTCGTTATTTTCATTGAAATCCTTTAACAAAAACTACATTCTGGTAATTTTGCTATAATGAAAATCATAAAAATATGCATTTTATTTAATTTTACGGTGGATGCACATTAAATTTCTTTAATGAAAGAGTAAATAAGTAAAGCAGACTGAAAACATTTCAAAATTTAATTAGCAATTAAAGGATTTTTATTCCTGCAAATGGATTTTTCTCTAGCTTTTTGCCTTAAAAACTGCATAAAAACATCGGGAAATGGTAACAACAAATGTTGGTTAATTAAGTTGGACTAAGAAGGAATAAAAATTGGAAACACAAAAATGAGTTGTTCTTCTAGTTATTTGGTCCAAGCTTGCCGCGGAAAATAAATAAAAAAAACCTCTATAAAAAGTCTGCAATTCATTTCGTTTTATTCTTGCAAATTATATAGAATAAAATTTGCACAGGAAATTTAATAAAAAATTAAATAAAAGCTGCAATAAAAAATAAAAAACTTTTTTTTGTGCAGTTAATGCCTATAAAGAGGGGAAAACTTCCTCGCTTGGCGTTTAAAGCATTTTCCACATTTCAACACAATTCCAACTGCCGCAACATTAAAATCCCAAATCAAAAACCATTGCAGATGAAAAATCTTCACAGAATCCATGCCAAGTTGCCGAGAAAAGAAATAATGGAAGAAAAGCAAATAAACCACATTGTTCGACAGCACAGGGAAGTGCTGCCAAAGCCTGTAAAGTTCTGAATACGTAGACGTAAGAGGCTACCAACAAATCGCTATCAACATTTGTGAAAGTAGATAATTATTATTTATAAAGCTTCAAGTTGAAGGCATAAATAAAAAACAAAAAAAAAAAATTAATAAGAAAGAAAACCAAAAAGAAAAAAATAAAAGAAAACTTTATAAAGAATATAGTAGTGGAAGGTACAACCAGAAGACGAAGGAAGAAAGTTTCTGCCATAAAGTTTGTAATGCATTTTTAGGAAATAACAGAGATTTCAGTGCAATTGTCATCATGTTTAGCACTTTTTATATTTTTTTAAAATTGCATTGTAGTTTCTATGTTTTGTTATCCACTATTCGTGCCATTTTTTATTCATTATTCATATTTATTTATTCATAGTAATATCTTGTTTCATATTAGCTTTATTTTGTTTTTCGACTGTCATTGCATATGTTTGTTGATTTGATTTTAAACAGATTAAAGTTAAAAATTAGAAAAATTTATGCATTTATTACTGTTAAAAGTATAAGAAATACCAACTTTTTTTTGCTTTTGTAAATTGGAATGTTCTAAAATAGAGATCATATTTACGAAACTCTTTTTATAACGAAAACGGATCTTATTTTGCTTATAATAAAGACAGACTCCCTCTTGTCTATTAAAATATAGACTCTTTTTCTATCATAAATAGAGAACCCATATTTTCTAACATAAAAAAAGACCCTTTAATTTTTTTCAGAAATAGAGACCCAATATTTTCTATCATAAATATAGACCCAATATTTTCTATTATAAATAGAGACTCCATATTTTCTATCATAAATTGAAACCCTATTGAAACCCTTATCTTTACTATTACAAATAGCGACTCTACATTTTCTGTTATAAATAGATAGACAAATAGAAACTCTATTCCATAGTAAATAGAAAGGTCATCATTTCTATAATAAATATATACTTCATCTATATCTATCTTGACAAAAAGAAACTTTATTCTATAGCGAATAGAAATCTTCTCTTTAGTAAAAAGAAACACTATGTTATAATAAATAGATACATTTTTTACGTATATATATAAAAATATAGATATTAATAAAAATTAAAATTTTTTTAATAAATAGATATCCTATATTTAATACAACAAATAGAGACCGCATCATTTATATAATAAATAAACACTTTTTAATTTTTATTATATATATATAATCTATCTGTTTTGTAATAAGTAGAGATTGCATTTTTTCTGTGAATTAATAATAGACTCTTTTAATAAAGAAAAACTTTATTCTATAGTGAAACGAGTCACTCTCCTTTCTATAGTAAATAAGAATTAAATGCTATGATAAATTGAGTCCTTATCACTTGTATAATAAATATATACTTTATTTTATTAAAAAAAATGGTGTTTGGAATTTTTTTATAAAGACTCTATGTTTTCTAAAATGAATTAGGTCCCTACTTTACCTATTTTTCTTATAGTTCACAAAGACTCTAACTTTTCTTTAATAAATAGAGACTATATTTGCTAAAATAAATAAAGACCTTATCATTAGACATAAATAACTAATAAATTAATAAAATCATAAATCATTTTTAAATTTTTTAATGCATTTTACCGTCTAATATAATTAATTTTTTTTTTTTGATTGCTTTAACCAATTGATTACAGAATTATATTGCAGTTAACCCATGTAAGTACATCAGATAAGGTTGACATTTAAAAAGCATATGTTGATTGAGATAGATAGGTCACTAAATTTTTCTAGTACAACTTAAAATGTTTGTATTCATTTTACAAAAAAAAAAAAATAAATAAATAAATAAACACAAAAAAACATACGCGACCGTTTGATTTGAAAAACATATTTTTTAAAAGTTTATTTTTTTTTATTTTAAAATAATCAACTTATAGTGACTGGCGCTTAAATATGATAAGAGGAGCAATTATATTAGATTTAAGTTAAATCTTGGTCAAGATCATACTTTTGTGGATTTAAATTGAATTGACTTTTTAAATACGATGTTTGTTTATAAATTTGCTTACACGGCAAAAATGAATTGGTATTTATAATATTAAATTTAATAATAATAATAATATTAATAATAATATTAATAATAATATTTTAAATGTTTTGAATAAAAATATTTTAATAATTAATGGTATGAATTACTAAATTTTATTTATATATTTCTAAACCGAGTGAAATAGATCAGTGGTAAATAATATAAAACTTTTTAACTCAGTTTTAAAAAGTACCCTGAAGATGACTATATATATATATATACATATAATACAGCTTTTAAAAAATTATGTTTTATTTGTACCGATTATTCGCTTATAGTCTACAGTTATCGTTAGGGTACGGGTACTTTTCAAAACTGATTTAAAAACTTGTTTATTATATATAGTATATATATAAAAAAATAATTAAAATATTTTAGTATTTAACTTCAATATTTTTTTTATAATACTAAAAAAAATTATTTTTTAATTCAATTCAAATTCAAATTTAGAACATAGTATAGTTTATTTGATAACATTTATCTATTATTCAAATAATTTGCACTGAGTAAGTAGTCAAAAAGTTTCGGGATGGCAGTTTTCATGAGGAAAGAACTATGTTATATACTATATAACATATATACTATGTTATATACTAAATAAGTGTAACATACATATGAATATTAAAAATTGTTTTTATTAAAAAAGTATTCATCTTTTTGTTATTAAAATTTGAGTAAATAATTTATTTTATAAGAATTTTGTTCAGTGTACTGAAATGATAGGAAACTATAGAAGACTCACTTCTGTTTACTACAAGCAAGAATGCAGACCACACGTAACCTCTGACTTGTCTTATCAAATAAAAATATACCGTAAAAATATGAATAAAACAAAAATTGCTTCTAATTTATTTAACTTGAAAATGGACAAATTTAAATTACTCATTCGAGGCTTTCGACAACGTCAAGCACTCGAGTCAAGAAATCCCTTCACCGTCCATTCGTACGGAAAGAAATTCGCGGTGCTCGCATAAACTGCAGCTATTCTGAAAGAGACGAGTAGACGAGTGTTGCATAGAAGGAAAAGCGATTAAAAATGATAGAAAAAAATTGACGATTCAAGGCGGAAGTGGAAACAAACGAATTTGTGTGTAAATGCTAAGCCATCGACTGGAAGGTGGCAGAGTCAGTGTGAACTGTAAGCCAAGCGCGTTGTAGAAATTTACATAATTTCCGCAAATAACCGCCGAAGCTCTAGAAAAAGACCAAAACAAAGAATTCATTAGTGTCGAAATAAGCGTCGAAGCAGACAAACAAACTGCAAAAGTTTCATAACAAAAGTGTGCCGTCGTCTTTTGGAAGTTTTTGTATCTGTGAAAAACACAATTTATTGAACATCAAGTGCCAGAATTGAACTGTGAGCGAAAACTGCGAACTTTTCAAATTTGGTGGCTGTCAGTGGAGCGCGTTCAGTGGAGTGTACTTGTGGCAGACAAGGAATGTTAATTTAGAAAGTTTTGTCTTTATGTGCCGCTTGTGAAATTTAATATAAAATTAAAAAAAAAACACAAAGTGTGAATTTAAGAATTTTACGCGTCTCAGCGAAATGTCATTAATAGGGTGTCAGTTGTTGGTGACAGTGACGGCAACGTTACTAGTTTGCCTTTTGGCAGCAGTGCCACCGACAACGATAAATGAAGTCGCCGCAGCCAATATTGAAAATGACATTCTGTATTATTCATACGAATTGGAGCGTTGGGTCGATGTAAATCAACGTCCCTGTCAGGACTTTTATGGGTATGTGTGCGGTAAAAGTTTGAATACAACGCAGGCACAATATGAGCAGCGCTTGCAGCAGGAGCAGCAAAAGTTTGATAATTTCTTAACAGCTGACAATGATGAACTGCTGCTTGATGCTGAATTGAAACTTAAGCAGTTTTATGATTCTTGCAAGCATGCACGCACCATTGACGATCTGAAGAGTACGCTTATGTATCGCTTTAGTGGTGGTTGGCCTGCTATCGACGATAGTGCGGCAATGATCCGAAAAAGACGTAATATGACTTGGATGGGTGTTGTTGGGGCTTTTAACGAAGTGGGTTTAGAATATTTCTTCCGGCATCGCGTCGATATCAAATCAAATAAACGTACTGTGCTACTTGAACCAGATGATTCGACACGTTACACTTTGCGTAAGTACGAACAATTGGCAGGTGAAGTTTTGCAGGAATATGCGGTGGATGCAGGACGTGCACGTCTAGTGGCATTAGAAATTTTAAATTTCGAGCGAAGTCGTCGTGAGATACTAAAAGCCGAGGTGGCAGATGGTGAATTGGAATTCAATTATGTGGATTTTAAGTTAACTTTGTCTGCTGCAGCCTTAAAAATTGATTGGGATGCATATTTTAAGAAGATTTTGGGCAAGCCACTTAAACCTAGCGATACTGTCTTGGTAAGACAAATGCCAAAATTGGTTGAATTATTTGGTTTACTGCAAAACACAACAATGACGCGTTTGTTGAATTGGATATGGATTGACTATTTAATGGGTGAGTTTATATCGTGAGTTATTACCATCACATTATTTGTATATATTTTAAAGATATTATTTGTTGATGAAGATACACATATTAACTATTATGCTAATATTGATATATTGATGTATTTGTTTATTACTAGTAGATTAATTATAAATTTTCATTGATTTACTATTTATTTTTAAATAAATATTAAATTTATGTTGGTTTACTATTATTTTATTATTATTTTTTATACTTCGTTATTAAACAATGATGCTTTAGTGACATATAAATATATTTATATGTGTGCAATAATGAACTATTTTTATATTAATATTGAATAAATATTAATATTATACTTATATGTAATTATTTATAATTATTTCATTGTTTATTTTTATTTTATTTTTATTTTATTTCAGTGTTAAATTCTGATATTATAGTTGAGTACAAACAGATTTATTTGTGCTTTAATAAACATTTGTAATATAAATATTAAATATTTATTTATTTACCTTTATTGCATTGATATTATATTCAGCGTTAAATATTGTTATTGTATTTAAGTACAAATGGTTTTTTATGTGCCATAATAAATGTTTATTATAGAATATTAAATAAATACTAAATATTTATTTATTTATTTACTACTATTGTGTTATATATTTCTATTTTATTTGCATTATATATCAAATATATAATATATTAATATTTATTTTTATTTATTTATTTATTTTATTAAAATTTCAGTATTTAATATTGTTATTATAATATTATTCAAATATTTATTTTTATTTATTTATTTCATTCATAATTTTGTTATAAATATTATTTTAGTTAAGTTTAAAGTTTATTTTAGTATTTCAGTATTAAATATTACTACTGTAACAACTTATTTATGCTAGAAAAAAAATCATAATATTTTTAAACTAAGATTCTTAATATTTTTACTTGAAAAATACAAAATAGACTCTTTTGTAGAAGAAATAATAGAAATTATAATTGTACTTTTACTCATCATACTTTTTTTATCATTTGAGCTGTCAATTAAATTATTTTCTCTTATATTAACAAACAATTTTCTTTTTAGACAAAAGCAGTTCCAACTGTCAGATGCTTACTAAGAACTATTTTGAACCTGTCTATCAGCACGTCGTCGTACATTCTTCCGTAGACAAAGTGCAAATGGCACAAATGTACGCAGATCTAGGACGTGCCTATGAAGAATTATTACCATCAACCGCATGGATTGATGAAATGTCACAACAAAACTCCAAGCAATTTCAGAGTCGCATTATACATTTGACATTAAATGGTGATGAGAAGTTGGATGCTGACTTGGCTACAGTAACAATAACAAAAAGGAACTTTTATCGCAATTTAGAAAAGACACAACGATTTCTGGCTCAAAAGCGTAAAGAAGAGCAACGTGCGAGTGCACGTGTTACCGGTAACGCAATTGAGGTAAGTCAAGCGGCTACGGACTTCATGAAGATATTCTTGGCAATTAATGCACTATTACCGCAACAAAATCTGAGCACACCACTCAATTATGCTTTGGTCGGTGAACACTTCGCAGAGCAAATGATAGCTACCGGTAGTAGTTCAACTACGCCAGGGGCATGGCGTAGCATGGATTCAGAACGTGAGTTTGGCATCTTTAAACATTGCATTGACAGACAGACAGCAAATACTGCAGCAGCCAATTACAATAGCAATGATTTGGTGTTGAAATTACTCGCTCAACAACAGACGTTGCATGCTTTTGAACAATGGCAACAGAAGAATCTGTTACTAATGAGACGTCTGGATACTTTGTTGGCAGCTGGCAGATTGCAATTATCGATGCGTAAATTATACTTTGTGGGCTCGGTTATGACAAATTGCAGACTGAATCCAAGTCTAAAACAGAAAGAATTAGTGCATAGATATTTAAGAAACTCACAGGCTTTTACACTGGCATTTGGTTGTCGCATTAATGAGGATTTATATGCAAGAAATATTTGCAAAGTCTTATAAACGATTTCAATGACTTTAAATATGATTTTGTGAATTAGTTAAATTATAAAAAATAATAATAAAATATAATATGATTATATCTAAAATAAAAATAAATTTGTTAAAAATTATATTATATTTAAAATTTTATTTTTACTAAAACAAACCTTCCATTCTTTTACAAAATTCACGTAGCACTTTTGAAATACTGGCAAAAACTGAAGTCTTAAATGCTTCCAACTTTTAATCGCCTAGCACTGTGCTGGAATTTTCTTTATTAAAATTATTACGGCCCTGGACAGTAATTTATAAATACAAATCATTAGTTTATAAGCGATTAAATATTTATTGGAAAACTGTGCCATCAACATCGTCAGGGCTGACGTTAGCTGGCAGTTATGGATGGGTTCCTACATTATTCTATATTTCATGTGGCAGAGAGAGAAGTTTATACAGAATTTTTTATTAACAGCAAATAAGGTATAATTTATAATTTAATTGCTTTTCAATAGTTTCACTCTTTCCATGGAACCATGAAACTTCTTCATATATTGGTGTGTATATTTTGTCTTGGTTATTGCACTTAAGTGGGGCCACATTTCATGCGTGGGTGTGCTGCCTATGATTGCGTTCCTCCTTTTGTAATTACCGCAACATGCAATTGACAGCACTGTTATTGCAACTCAGAAATTTACATTTCTTGTGCTTGTATTTGTTCTGACAGCTGTCAATGAATCGTAATGTTGTTACGTCAAACTACGTCAAGTTGTGATTACGTTTATGACGTTGGCTCTAGTAGCCAATGGAGGAAGTGAATATTAATTTTAAACTTATTATTTTGTGATTATATTATTAATTATTAAATATTAATAAGAGATTATTGTAAATTAAAAAGCATATTGTATTTATGCAAGTGTAAGAAAGTTTAAGATATGATCAAATAATTTGATATGATTTGATTTGTCAATTAATATGATCTGATCTCGTACAAGATCCAATTTGCTTAATTAATGAGTGCATTATATATGTCAAACTTATTTATATACGTAAACATTTAAACTAAAATTAAAATTTATATAAAAATAACTATTAATCAAATTTTTTTTTATGTCTAATAAAGGTTTGATAAAAAAGAAACGTGAGTTTTAAAATTTTACACTCTGGAGCTTATTTGTACATTTTGGGAAAAGAAAGTTATCAAAAATAAAAGAGACGACTTGCGGATTTCTTACGATGAAAACGTACCATTACGTATCAGTTTGCTTAATCAACAAAACGTTTTTGAATAAAACACCACTGTAATGACACAATCACCCAATTCTTCCGGTATGGCAATACTTTTTAACAATACATTGTATGGTATATTTCAAAGAAGAAGAGAAAAGATATTCTCTGGTATATTTGTTCAATGTATTGAATTTGTTGCTATATTGATTAAAATTTGTATTACGTTAGTACTCTGAAGATGACTATAAACTATTATCGAAATAATAATATTTCGATAATAGTATACAATAAAATATACTTTTCCTAACCAATTACCAAAATATTGCTGAATACAATTACTTCTATTTAAACATTTAATTAAAATTATAATAATTTTAAAATAATTTTGTGTATACTTTTGTGTAATCAACTCAAGCATTTTATTTGATGAATATATGAAAATTTAATTTTGCATTAAGTTTTATTTTTAGTTTTTATTTCATGACTAAATTTTAACAAAATGCAAAGAGTAAAAAGTGTCCTGTCGCCTGTCGGTTGTCGGTTGTCACTTCAGTTCAGTTCATTGTCAGCTTAATTTCCTACTAATGTACTTGAGTGTCCCTGTGGAATTTTACTAGAATAAAGGAAAGTATATAGTATATACTATATATAAGAAAAAAATACTAAAATGCTTACACAATTGTTGGTTGCTGTCAGTAAAACTTAAATTGCATAAGAGCCAAAGAATTTACCACAAAACACAGGAAATAATATAATATTGGGTAAGACGAGGGGGATAAGGAATGTTAGTATTTTCACTGATAATAACAGTGTAAAGGACACAGGACACAAAACGCAAGACACATGCCCGAGTGACAAGTTGATAAATGAAAATAAGGAAGAAAAAAACACAAAACAACGACCATTCCAACAACTATAAAGAGCTAAAATCAAAATCTGATTTAGAAACAGAATCAGTATAAAAATCAACATGAACAACAGCAACAGATGCTGAACTAAGCTTTTATTTTTCATGTTCCATTATTTTTTTTTTTGGTTTTTTTTTTTTTATCCTGTTTAAAACAGAAATACGAAATCCTTTCAAGTGCTGCTGCTCCAGTTGTTAGACATATCAAATTAAAAGTGCGTTTGCGTTTACGTTTACGTTTGTGTGTGTGAATGCGTCTATCAAGCTTACAAGTATCCTTCTTGTTACAACAAGTGGTTATGGCTAAGAGAAAGGAAAAATCAAGAAAAGATTGTAAAATTCCTTTAGATTGATTGTAAGTAAACGGAAATTTGATATTTCAGGAATGAAATGTACTTTCTAAACTGTTTCCTGCCAACAACATTTGCTGCTCTCAGTTAAAGTAGAGCATTATAAGTATGCCTGGAAATGGCAGTTTGTGTATGTCATTTGGTTGTTGTAGTTGTCGGTAAGAAAATGTTGGCATATAAGTAATTCTTCATGCCAAGACAAATGTGCTCATATGTGGAAGGGAGCTTTGGAAAAGTTTTTATGTTTATATATATAAGTATGTGTGTCTTAAGTTTGTTGTTATTTTTCAATTGTTTATATTTTAAAATAAAAAATAAATATATTTTTAAATTGAATGCCAATTCTTTATTAGTAGTCGGTCCATTGAACTGTATTGAGTTGTTACTTATATGCGCAGATATAAGAAATTTTTGAACTGTGGCGAGGAAAGTTACTTACTTCATTTCATGTATTGAAAAGATTGTTTAATACTTTTTGGGTAGTATATGGGTTGAAGTAAATAATATTAATTTAAGTTTCAAACAATTTAGGTATTTAAATAAAAATGGGTAAAGTAGTTAACATAATTAACAGCTAATGTGTCGTAGTACTTTAGAACTAAAATACATTAAGAGACTTGTCTACGTGGCATTAATTAAATTTAACATAAAACATAAAGCACTAAATTTATTTAAAAAATTGAAAGTTTCAAAAAACAAGACCTGTTGTATACTTAAATATTGTTGACCACATCACTTTCTGATCATGTGGTGAATTGGAGATATTCACCACATTGTAATAAATTGGTAAGACATATTAGAGAGAATATGTGCTTACAAATAAATCTACACAATGCTAGCAATGAGTTACAGTGGTTCTCTCAAATAATAATATTTTTAACATGCTTAAGATCCGTTTACAAGATCGCGTTTTAGGCACGTGGTAAATATGCGAATGTGCTAATATTCACCACATAATATTAAATCGGTAATACTCGTTAGAGAGAATATGAACTTGTAAATATAAATCTCTAAGGATAGTAATTTGTTATTTAATGAATAACATCACTTGAACGTGAAGTGTTTATCAAATTACTTTTAAAGCATATAATGGGAATAATAATATTAACCACTTTATATTATATCACTGATCTTTGGAGTCATTGATTGAAGTTATAAATAAAAATAATTTAAAATGTTTTAGAAATGATTAGAAAGAATGTTTTTAAACATAAAGAGAATATGTAAATGTGCAACACAACTAGTCGCCGATTAGTTAAACAGCGGTATACGTAAAAGCAGTGAACCACAAGTCCACATTACTGGCAACTTCTATACAAATTCGTTCCAAATCCATACAAAAATATGCTAATGACGTTGCACGACAGTGAGTATAAACTAGCTTTATAAGTATTATAGAATACTTTCTTCCTTAAATGTTTGAGCCTATTTAAATTTTTTAAATCATATAGTCTCTTGCGAAAAAACTTCTTCTTCTAATACACTTAATCTCTTGTAAAAGTTTAATTCTCTGTGCTCTAATTTAATTATTTAAATATGTCAAATGTCATTCTAAGTTCCCGTAAGCGCTGCTATGTGTACTTTTAATTAAAAAACTTTTCATACAAGAATTTAAATAGATATACATATTTAAACGTATCTAAGAGAATATGTGCCACACAGCCACATTGCAAAAATGGTTTAGTATGCACTAAAGCAGATGTAAATATCAATTTGCTGCACAAACATAGAACTTAAAATAGATGCGGTACGACATCCTCCAATGTTTGAGAATTTGAAAATTTGTAAAAGCTTAGTTTTATTTAATAAAAATTCACTTAGGTAAACATAAACTAATTTCAAAAAGAATTCATTACAAGACTTAATTAAACACACATCCCCATTTTAATCACAAAATGTATTTGCAGAAAGGCTTCATCTATTTACGTTGAGTGAAAAAAGTTTCAAGAAGAAAAAATAATTTAATTCAACTTTGCATTGGTAATTTCGGTGCAGTAAAGTAAAGTAACCCTAAAGAAGATTTATTTGCTGAATCCATAGCGTAATGCACTGAACAAGTGCACAAAAAAAGTGTGTTTAATGCATGTAGTATGTTCAGTGACGGTAATTAGAAAATTCAACTAACAAAGAAAACATGTAGAAAAGATTAAAGGAGGATGCTTTTGAAATATTTCAGGCGAAGTAGTGGTTTTTAAAAGGAAATGCATATGTATATAAAGTAATGAATGTTATGTTATATCTTGTGTATAAATAAAAAATATATAACTACAATTAAATTATAAATACAAATGAAGTAATTAATTGAAAACTCTATTTTTTATAGTAATAGAAAATAAATTAAGTAATGGCAATAGGTTTACTCGGTTTTTAGGATAATAGACTTTAGCAAGAGTGTTGTTGTTAATGATAGCGACAGTACATTAATTTGTTAGAACTATTAACTACTTGATTGCAGATATTTGTTATATCATTTTAATTACATAAAAAAGTGTACACAAGTATAAAAGTATAAAAAAAGTATAAAAAGCAGTAGCAAATATTTTAAAAGAAGTTATTTAAGAAATGGCTATATATTCTCAAATATTTTAATTTTC